CTGCCACATGATCTTCAGCATTGCTTCGCGGCAAGCCGGGCGGCAGGAGGGTACCTATAATTAGCTATTGGAATGCGTTCCGGGAAGCATCACTCCTGGTCAATAACAAGTCTTGAATCAGTGCAGTATGAGAGGCGGCTATCGGCCCTTTACTTTGGTTATAAGTAAGTCCTGGACCGACGTAAGGTTGGCCACTTTAATGTTCGAATCTTATCGACTTTCAGTAGCTGCTCGACCACACGCTCGAGACATCGGTGACCCCCACGATCGGCAAAAATCAACCTTGGAACCTTGCAATCAGGAAGCAGGAATTAGGCAGCTGCCATACGAATTACTGACACAGCGGCCTACTGTGCCGCGAGCCAATGCACAAACCCACCCATAACATCCTGCGTTCCTTGTAAAAGTGGGTCTGGATCTGACCTGATGGGACCCTGTAGTATTCTGTCCCGGCTTCCCCAGCCCCGCTTGTACAACATAAACGAAAACTACTCGGCCATGCGAAAATTCAATATCCTAGTAGGTGCCCCATAACTGGACGCTTTGATACTGAACTTTGGAAAACTTGGCTGACCTCACACAGGCACATTGTGCCGGCGGGGATATGGGAAGCCGGCCTTCCCGGCATCTGTATGCATAGCCGATAGGCACGGAGAGAGGACTTTTGTTCCAAACGTCGGTACCGCGCAAAGCTATGTATGACATATGCTGTGCGAAGCAGCACACAACTGCCTGACCGCTTTTCCAACAAGGTCAATCTCGCACACAGATGCTCGGAACTCACCGCCACTTGTTGCCCGTCAATTGGATCGGACTTTTGTACCAAGAATGAAGGTTGTTTGGAACTAGGGTCTGAACACAGTTGCCACTGGTGTTGGCCAGGTGCTGTGATCCTTATGCGGTATTGCTGCTACACCGTACAGCTGCACTGCGATAACTCAAAGTCCTCCAGGATATAAAGGTCGCAAGATTTTTGATCGACCGCGTCAACAGCAGCCTACAGGATTACGCAGTGTTCAGCTTTTGCTCACAACGTTTGCTTGATCCAAAGGAACGGCGAGATGGAACGCAGTCATGAGGATCCTGGCAGACTATTGTATTTTAACTTCGCAAATGCTTCTTAGTACTAGTGCTGCCAACTGTACATAGGAGTAGTGAGGCTGTTTCGCATGCAGCCAGCCGTGGCGGGCCGTTCCTTGCTGGCGAGGCACCGTTTAACGCTGTTCAACGCTGGTAAGCGCAAAGATGGGGTGACCGGTTCGCTGTAAAACCTCCGACTGGATGGGCCTTGATCCCGGGTCTACCGCGTGAACACGTTCCACTCTAGCAATCCTTGCGAATCGTCAACATGCTTGGTTTTCTGGCTTGTGGAATGAGCCAGGTCATTGGTAAAAATGGATCTCGTTGCGGTCATTCCATTCTAACAGCCAATGTATGTGCCATTCACCGGCTGCTTACTTCCGACTACGATCCAGAGTGATGCTCAGTCAATGTGGCTTTGCTGCACGAGCGAAGTCCTTCACCTCGCGGTTCGGCAAGGCTCAGTCTCGGCATGCCGGACAACGAATCACTATCGAACACCTCCTATATCGGTCCGGTATAGCCCTCGAAGACCCGGTCCCAACATCTCTATGTGGAAAACAATGTTGTGTGTCCTCAAATGCTGGTCCACGAAGGCCTATCTTTCAATATGACCCCAAGAGTACCATATAAACCCGAATCCCATCGAATTTAACACAAAACAATCAAAGCAGTCAGCACACTACACAGCATGCCGTACGATCACGTCACCTCCCTTCCGTTCCTTCTGGACTCTTCTTACTTGACGCCAGAGGAGATTGTTGAGCGGGAAGCAAATCCAGCACTTTTTGCCGCAAGACGATATGGACAGCCAGAACATATTTTCAGAACCGCGGGTGAGTGTCATTTGGTGTTTACATTGTCAGTGCTGACCATCCCACAGCCGAGCGCCATGGAAACGGATCGCTACGAAGCACCCTGCCATCATTCACAGCAGCGCATCCCCACTCTTCCTCAGCTTTGCCCCGCCCATCACAAGCCTCATCAACAGTTACAGTATCCGCAGGGATATGTGACGATGGATCTTCTCAAAGCCAACAACCCAGTCGATCTCCGGTTGCAACACCACATCTCTCTCATAGTCCATACTCGTCAGGTGCGTCGAGCCCTCGTGGATCTACAACGCCTGGCAATTACTTTTCCACTGTGCTTTCGTCTGCTGCGTCTGAATGCTCAGCCAGTAGCCCGACACCGTCGTCGTCCGCACATACAGAAGCGGATCGGGCGCAACACTCTGGACAAGAAGCACAAAGCCACATGATGCCGGCAAGGTGTAAAAAAAAGGGCAAAATACATGCATAGTGGCCTTATTCGGGATCGTTCCAGTCTCATTTTTTCTATGCGTCTTGATCTGTATGCTTTCGGGAGTAAGACATTGTAATGGTTAGACGGGTTTACTATTCTTAATTGTAGAGTACCAGTGAGCAATCATTATTATATCACACGCATCCATCAATTCCAAGCAAAACTCCCCTTACGACTCGCATATCTCAAGTAGTACTCTCGCACCAACATCGATAATCATGATATCGATGACCCTCAGCACAGGTTTCCTGGGAAAAGCGACTGTTCAGCCCGAATTCAACATATCAACCTGTGACAAAACAGATCCCAAGGAAAAAACAACCCGAGACTCTCGAGACGTTCCAATAGCAGATCGGATACGGCATCCGGAGACCAATTGGTCTGGAAATCTCAGCCGCGGAGATTTACTGAAGGCCGCAGGATGCAAGGGCAAGCTTCCGGTAGGTGTTGTGATACAAGAGATAATCAAATTTGCATGGTGGTGCGAAGTCGTGAAAAGCCGGGTGATGCCGGTATGTGATCCTATTTTCAAAGGGGTTGAGATAAGATGGCGTAAGGATATAAACCGAACGCATCGGAACCAGAAGTGTAGAAGTCTTATCTCAACGCTGTCACACATCGTACCCTGAATGCTAAATGCAACGCAGGTGTTGACCACCCACCAAAGACCCCTGATACGTCCTTGCATCTAGTATCTCTCTAGTTTGAAATCTCCACGGACTCGATGCTTGTGTAACCCTCATACCAGTAGTACCGGCGAGAGGGTGCAGCGGTGGCAGGCAAATCATATGCAAAGTCTTAAGCTTGGACAGTGCAGTCCTTAAAATATAGTACCTCCGTCCCGAAATCAAAATTTCGCATGTCTGGGCGTATCTCACATGCGTGTAAGGAGATGGCTGTGGCAAGCGAATAGGTCCTTACTGGATTGAAGGTGCGCCTACTCTTGATTGACAATTGATACAACCCCCCCCCCCCCCAAACGCTCTCTACGTAAGGAGCTATGCTTTCCGCCAGTACTTCTAGATGTTGCGATTATACAAGATTGACGAGGGGTTTCTCGTAAGAACTCAGCATCATGCTACCAGAGCACCGTTGATGCATGCGACCGCAGCGCAGCGTCACATCTTTTGAGACAGTCATCAGGGAACACAGCACCCATAACAGAATGCTTTTTCAATAAAACTGATGAGTGGTATTGTGGTTTCAGCCTTTCGGGCAAAGATGCCGGTACCACACGCGCCGATCAGCGCCTAGTATAGTCAACTACATCATCGATATGATCCCCCTCTGCTCCAGCAACAACAACAAAAGACAGGACATTGTCCCACACTTACAACCTTGCTAGCAAATAATTGTCATATTAGCTCACAGGCTTGGAATTTGTGCGTCACTTCGACAGTAACTTGTCTTATACTTCTGTCACGAAGACATGATGCCATTACAACAGCTCTCCTATTGGAACTTCAAAACACCAGTCGATAACAAATGGCACCCACAACCCGGTCAATGCCCCACCAAATATACAAAGAACCTGCCTCCCATACTCCAGCGCACAGATATCGAAGCCACCTTGGTCGATGTGGCGCCGTTCATCGCCAGTGCTGGTGCCTTTCGACATGCGTCACAACTCTTTGACTTCGGCTTCACAGTCTCGGCCAACGTGTTTCGGAACGTCAAGACCATGACTGCATTGCATCGCTCCACGCTTGTCGCTATACCCCTAGTCCTTGCCCTCCAAGCCACGGGTGTTGAGTATAGGTACCTGATTCCGCGCTGGAGCACTGAGCGGGAGCGCTATAGGCAAGAAGACGAGGTGCGGCGTCATATCGATGTTGGTGCTTACCTGGGCGCCCTAAGCTGGGTAGTCAGAATGTTCATGAGGGTAGGAGTACGCTACTGGGCGCCAATCGATGTGGTACTATTTGGAGCCGGAGCTGATGTACTTCATCGAGAGTACATGAGGACGCACGAGTCCTGATTCGTTACTTGTGTGGACGAGTGTGAAGTAGCAATTTGCATTGCAATCGACACATACAAATCTTCACGTATGTCAGCTATGTCTGCTTGAGCACATCGGAATGGCATGAAAAGACAAGCTATTCGGTGGTTTTTCCATCTAGAGAATAATACCGCCGGTACTAGTCCGTAGGAAAGGGACGGTGCTGCAGGTGTGCCTCCCTACACTTCCCTGTAAGGTAACGGGGGAAGATCTTGCGACTGTCAGACCCACCACGGCGACCTAATACATACAGAACCAAACAGATATTCTCTGCTGTCTCAAGGTTAAGACTACCCCCTCCCCCCTCCCCAAAGCTAGTACACTTCAGCCATCATTGGTGTATAGTATCAGCTTCCTAGATTTGGCCAAATTGACTAATAAGTAAAGATAGTGTCAGTGTCGGTCGTGTGACAATGTGGAGACTTCCCATCCTAACAGGAAGGAAAACTGTTCCTTTAGACAAGGCCGTAACATGATCCGCGCTGTGAGAGCCCAATAAAGCTCAGGGATGATGAGACTTCGAACGGAACAGGCTGAGTGACACTGATCAGAATATATTATTCAAGAATGGAAGGAGTTCCACAGATCACATCTCTTCCCAGCTTAAAGTTGGATATCTTCGATAGTATAGTGGTCAGTATTTCTGCTTGTCATCTTCGGACAGCTCGCAGGAGGCCGGGGTTCGATTCCCCGTCGGAGAGATACGATAATTTTTGTTTTTGCCAGGTTTGATCTCGTTGAGGTCGTGATGGAGGTGTTGGTTATGGAAATTTTTCGCTGGGTGGACACTACACTAAGTGGAGACAACCGCCAAGACTTCGGCAGCAACAGCCTTAAATAACACGATCTTTTTGCTAATGCCACATCAACTTCGTAGAGGGTGTGTCTGTGTTGATCGATGAGTATTTGACTTTTCATCATTATGCACTCGGCGACATGAGGTGGAAAGCTTCGACTTCACGTGTCTTCACGGCTACTCGCTACTTGAACCTTGGAAGTCAAGATTTTAGGAGCAGCGAGATTTGCGCCGCTGGATGCTGAAGCAAACGATTTTAGGCCGCTGCAGCTTCAAGTACACTGTGCTTGAGGAGAATGGAGAAGCCTTGTTGCAAGCAAACAAAATTAACATTATTCTAACTTCTAATCTATAGGATATCAAGAGCGCAGGACTGGAAATACTGGATCGACACTTGCGGGCGCGCTCAGAGAGTCTTGAACTGACTATCTTCTACCAACCAGGTTCCAAAGTCTTTCAGCTTCGGATACCTAGCCCTGACGGCCGGAATATCAGCTCCGTACCCTTCAGCTCCAAACCACTTGAACATGAGACCCAAGTCCTTGACCATCCAGTTGATGCCCGTCGCCACGAAGCTAAAAGTCGTCGGAACTGCCTGTCCAGTTTTCTCTCGGAAGATGGCCCGGAATTGATCCAATGTCAACTCATCGCCAGCCAACGCAATCTTCTGACCCTTGTACTGGTCAGGCTTGACAAATGCTTCAGCGGCGAAGAATCCGATGTCGCTTGTAGCGACGAGCTGGAGCTTCTTCTCCTTGGCGATGTTGTTCTCCCAGCTTGATGCGAAGACCTTACCGAGGAAACCGGGAATCAGGTTCTCGAAAAAAGCGACAGGACGGAGGATTGTCCAGTCCATCTTTCCATTCGCGTTCTCAAACAGGTGCTGCTCAACACGATACTTGCTGGCGAAGTGAGGAACGGTTGTTGCTTCGGTGTCAGAGTTGACACCGCGGTCAATGGAGGAGTAGACAAAGTGTTTGACGCCGTTCTTAAGGGCTGCGTCAATGAGGGCCTTTCCCTGACGCTCCTCGGATTGTACGCTCGCTCCGTCTCCAATGGCAACCTGATGAAAACAGTAAGTAAAAGATGACTCAAGAGTGTGTTCGTTGCATTGCTTACCTGTACACTGAAGACACCCCAGATAGGAAGCTGGGTAGCTTGTTTGGCTTTCTCAAAGACGTCATCAAGGTTATCGAGGTTGCCAGCGATAACCTTGATCTTTTGTGACTTTGCCTGCAGCTTTTGTGCTGAAGCTGATTGTGCGTTTCGGGTGAGTGCCAGGATTTCGAAATCGGCGTTCACCTTGAGCAAAGCATTAATGACCGAGCTGCCCTGCTTTCCAGTGGCTCCGGTGATGAGAAGTGCCTTCGTCATTTGGTCGATTTGTGAGTTGCTACGATTTATCTTGAGGTGTTTGTGTAGTATTTGGCACTATCGATAGGTGATGGATCAAGTTGTAGATTTTTGATATGAATGTCGAACCGGGTTGCAATGATGAACTGTTATGAAGATGCTGAGATTGTTTGATATGGTTTCTAGCAGGCACATCCTCAGCTTATTATATAAGTGATGAGTCCGCGAGAAAGCGAGGTCGATTACAGTGAGGCAGGGGTCTCTGGTGATCTGATTGGATAAAAGGTTTGGTGGACAGCAGGCCTGCATAATCAGACATTGGCGCAGCGAACACTGACCAAGCGGTTCACCGAATCCCCGCATTACAAAGCAACGGACCAATCACATATACTGCACTTCCCGCAAAACGCCAATTCCACACTGCTACGCTATCTCACGGCTGAACTTCGTGCGAACGCATCAGGTTCTAAGTTGCGAGCTGTCAGATATCTTTCAAGCGCACGCGTGCGCAAGACCAACGACGACACCGTAGACCAAGGAGCGTCTGCACGAAGCCAATAACGAACAGCGGACGAACTGTAACAGGACAATGGGCAATGCACTTAATCGGGTAGCTCATGTTGCTTCTGTGCAAGATTGCGCTGCAGCTGGGGGCCTTCTTCGCTCATTCGAGATAGAAGCGCCGAACAGAAGCGACAAGGCTGTCACATGGCTGTCTACGCAGGTGGTTGCGCGCTGAGTTTAACAACGCATAGGGCTATCTCGACAAAGAGCTTGTAGTCACCACAGAGTATACGAGGCGTTTTTTGGGTTGTAGTAAGTTGATTGGGTAAGATGGTCGTTTGACGTTGTTGAACTCGATTATTGGACTAACATTCGTTTCTACACTGTGATACAGTACTAGGACTTTAATCTGTTCGCCTAAGGGCCGTGCACTCCCCACCAACGCGATCGCGCGAGCAACGCTCTCAATTTAACCACGCGATACACCA